GTGGAAATAAGAAGGAAAAATGGCATTTGTTTAGGAAGTGTTTTAGGAAAGAAAAAAAAACCAGCAGCATTTGGACAAGTGGTTTACCAACAGGTAGTTAGAGCTAAGCCCTTCTATCAAATTCTATTTCTGCTTTAGTTAAGGTGGCAAAATCTTTTGCAAATACTGGCAGCAATGGAAAAAGCGTGGCTTTATGTGCTGCCTCTCAATGCGCCTTGATCTCTTGGACCACATTGAAGAGGGACAGCCAGTAGCAGCAGTTCGAATACATCCTTCAGCACTGTGCCGTCCTGCAGAACCCAAAGGTGTGGGCTCTCCTAAACACTGCCCTTAGGGACTTTTATTTCAGTGTGCCTACTGCTTTCAGGTTCAAAAAGAATTAGTCTTTTAAAAGAAGAGATTAGGCTGGCAAACCCTGGGCTGGTTGAAACGTGGGTTTGTGTTGATGGTGGCACATTCTGATTCAGAGAGCATGCTCCCTTTTGGGGCTGGTGGCCGATACTGCGCTGCTCGTGCTTTCTTTTCAGTTGCATAACAGCTTCTCGCCCAGCAGAAAAATAAATGTTTGAAGTATCATTCCATTTGTTTCTTTAACTATGATTGCAGTCATACTGGCATTGCAAGATTTAGCTTTTGATATTTGTGGAAAATATGAATATAACGATTGTATTCTTCAGTACTGCTACAAATGATGGCATTGAGTCATAGGAGCTCACCTGGACACTTTATATAAAATATGCTTGTGTTCAGTGTACGGTATTAGTTCTTTTTCCAAGTATTGAGACAACGGTGCAACTGAGACTAGTGAATGAACTTACATTTTCAATTTTTGGTATCAATACAACATTGGTAGCATTCAATTAAAAAAACCCCTCTCAAATGTTGCACAAATCTGAAGTCAGTCTTGTAACATTTTTTGGTAGATAAGTAGTAACTACATTTTACAACTGCAAAATTGCATCGTTCTATTGTTTGCTTCTCACGAAGACTCTCTCCGAGCTTGGAACCAATCTCTGGCCTTCCAGCCTCCACCTTTGCCACCGCTCTGTGCAGGACTGAGGTTTCACGGCAAGCAAAGGCTGCTGTCGGCTCAGCTTACTTTTGTTGGTGTATAATGGACCAAAATTCCTGAGCTCTGAAATACTTCCTGTGTTTTAATCAAAGAATGTAATAATTGTTTTTGTCGTTAAATTTCTGGGTATCTGGTTGCTACCCCTAGAACTGGGTGTTGGTGGCTTTGGTGGCATTGCAGCCGCCCCTGCATCTCGCTGCTGTCTGTGGTGGCGTGTGTGCGTGCCTGTGCAGTTCATGTCCAGTATTGCCTCCGTGGGTATGCCAGGAAACTATCCATGTGGCACATGTTACTTGGAACACCTCTGTGCTTTCTGCTTTACTCTGCTCCTTCCCTTCCATGGGTCAGAGATCTGTTCAAAGAGCTGGTTTCCAGGCGGCCGGGGGCGGGATTCCCTGGGCTTGGATCTCTTAACTCTTTGCGCTTTCTGTAGATGTGTGTTCCTTTGTAAATTGAGAGATACCTCAATTGCCAGTGCTTTGTTATGAATCGTACAGCTGGAGTAAGGGAATTCCTCAGGGTGAACAGTTCAGGGGTATGAAAGCACTCGCATCAGTACAGCTTGTTCGGCTACGTATCCAAAATAAACAATACCATAGAGGTGCTGCTACTACCAATAATAAGATTCCTTCTGGGGGGAAAAAGAGGGCAACTAATTCAGCTTTGTATTTGCTAAATGACTTGAAAAGTTGGGTGGCATCTAATATAAAAAGATCAATTTTTTTTTTTTTTCCTGGGAAGAACAACAGCTAGTATCCTTATGGTGTTTTCAAAGCGACGTGTAGTGTAAATAAAACACTTCATAAGTGCTGCTGCTCAAATTGTGCATTTGCTGGAAGTTACTGAGCTTTTAGAAAGCCTCCCTCGATGCCCAGCTGTGCTGTGAGAAGGTGTGCGAGTGTGTTTGGAACTGGTTCTCACCGATGGAGGCTTGAAAGAAGTTGGAAAACAAGTTTTCTTGAGTTAAACTATAACTACGGTATTAGGTGGCTGCCACTGGCTAGGCTTTGAGGCTTTGCCCGCTGGGGATTTTACTACACCAGCAGCAACGTAGCGATTGCGCTTCTCGGGGCATTTGAAAGGGGCTGTTTATTTTTCAGAAGAATCAGGGGTGTAGTGTGGCAATTCCCCTTCAGCTCCTCTGCAGTGGTCTTACTAACTAGTTGCTCTGCTGCACCCCCCTGCTCTGTTGTGAGGAAATGTCAATTTATAGTTAATGATTAATGGTGGTCAGGTCTAGAACACCCTGTGCTTCTCGAGGTGGTTACAGCCTGCCAAATTGGTCGTGTTTATGAATTTGCCTTGGACTGCTTGAGAAGGCCGGAGACATAATTTTAAGAATCTGGTAAAGAGCGTTGTTGCAGTTAGGTGAACATGGGTGAGACGCTACCAGAGGTGCCGTGTTTCACTGAGCAAGGTCTGCGTGGTTCTCTGTTGGGTTTCTGTAGACAAAAGCTTGACGGGGGGGGCAAACTGTGAAGCGCTTCCTGTTTGTCGTCGTCATATTGCAAAAAATATGTTTGTTCATTTATTTAAATGAACTTACTTAAAATGTGTTGCTTCATTACTCTGCTCGGACTTTCTTCAGAAGCACAGAACTCGCAGTCTTAACTCTGATAGGAACTCCCACATTTTGTATAATTTAACATTTAATAAGTCAAGTGCAGGCTTTGCAGTTCTCTCTGCTTCAAACTGAGAGCCAAGAAGACTCATTTCCTTCGAAGGGACCCTATGTAGAGGCAATAATAGTTGGTAGGTGTCTTGAGACAGGGGTTTGTTTCCATGTCCCCTGCAGCGTTCACTACAGCACCTGGCACGTGAGGCAGGGTGCGGCAACCTCGGCCTCGCAGCAAAGCAAAGCTGGAGAACTCTGGAGCCAACTTCAGCTTGCGTGGCCTCTGTGCTGGGGTGGAGTTACAATGGTCATCTTGCACTTGGGAAAGGAGAAGAACCTTTAAAAATGTGTGTAGGGGGAACGGGCAGACTTCTCTGAGACTAAAACTGAAAATCGAGTCTGAAGCTACTTGAGTAGCTGGAGGCTGCCTCTGGTACTTCACCTGGGGGGTGTGCTCTTCAGCCCTCCATCTTCTGATGGGTTTGTTTGCTCTGCTTTGGTTTGCATCCTGGAGTGGTCTTGTAGTGCACACATCTGGATTTTGTTTTAAATGAAATTTAACAGGAGGATGTGTGTCAGCTGCTCATGAGTGCTCAGGCTCAAGGAACCTCCCCAAAACAAGCACAGAATGAGGTTTTTTTCCTTTCCTTTAGCACCAGCTGCTTTACTCCACGCAGCCCTCTCTTACTGTGCTGCTGGACTTGTCAGACTATATCTACATTAACAAGCTTCGGTTTGTGTGAGGAAGCAGGCGTAGTCTTGATAAGAAATGTGCAGAAAGATGGATAGGCTCAGTGAAATGATTTGAGACCAGGCAGGGGGGAAGATCCGCTCTGGTACAGTCTGCATTATGTTACTTTCTTTAACCAGAAGACCTGCTTAAACAAAAAAACCCAAACAACCACCCTTGCAACATAGTAACTCTTAACTCTGTCCAATGTAGCTATCCATAGGATTATACTATAACCTGAATTGCCCCAAACAGTAACAAAAAACCCCCAATGCAAAACAAAAAACCAAAACACCAAACAAAAAACCTCCCCACGAAACAGACCACCACCACCCCCAACTGCAAAAAGCCCTCCAAACTGAAAAGAAAAAAAGCCCCCACAATATGGCAGTGCTGTTATATTAGAGGATATCATGGAATTTTCCCTTTAAGGTCTGTTGTGCAGCTCTGCTCTCTGTGTGTGGTGTGGGGCTGGGTTTTCATCTGGATGGGGGGGAAATCAATTCTATTTGGAAGCTTAGCTTCTTGAAGTGGGGACCTCCAGCAGCTGGTTGTATTGGATAGTTATATGTGCTCTTCTGGTGTATTTCATTGCATACATGTTAATGTACAGTAAGAGTGTGATTCTGTCTGAAATATCTTCTCAGCACTGTGCATGAGTGTGTGACAGAGGTTTTTAAGAAGTCTTAGTGTAGGATGCTGCAGGATTTTTAATATGCCTGTTTCATGGGAAAACCTATAAAGTGTTGTATTCATTGGTTATGTGAAGATACTGTAGCTTTTCTAAATTAGATTGCATCTTGGAGTATATGTTAAAGAAAAACAAAAACCAAACCAACCAAAATTGTGGGGGTTAATGGAGAAGCATTTTGGGGAATCTAAGAAATTACATGCTTGTACAAGAACTCTAAGACCATTTTTACTTTTCTGGAGCAAAAGTTGACTTTTTTTTTTAGTTCAGTCTGTCATGGTTGCATCTAAGGCTGTTCTTCCAGAGTATGTCATCTGTTTTATTTAGTGCTTTTTTCTGTTTTTTCTTGGAGTTGCTAAAAATGTTCTCAGAATAACTCAATAAACACTTCCTATCTGAGAACCGAACTGTTAGTGTGGTTGGAGTTCAGGGTCATGGAGCTAAGCTTGTAAGAAGTACAAAACCCCCAAAAGATAGAGCCTAGTTTCTCTCATCCAATTGAAATTAATGTTAAAGAGAAAGCTGGGACTATGTGCTTCCTGGACTGGTTTGAATAGCATGAACTACAGAAAAGTTACACATTTTTGGACACCAGTGGTCCCAAGAGGCTCAGGTAAGGATTTGAGTGGTTCTCTGGCCATGCTAGAGGACTGTCCTCCCCCACAATGGGTGGTTGTCCTGTCTTCAGCAAACCTCCTTAATTGCCGTGTATGTTTATCACTGCTTTTTCAAAGTAATAGTCTTGATTTCATGCTATCAGCTTTGGCAACGCGCTGACATGGGCAAATACCTTCTCCAAAAATTAAACCAAGCAAGACGTTTGCTGTTTGGGTACAGCAGATCCAAGGTGAGTGGACCCCCTGGGGCTGCTGCAGCTTGGCAGGCCTCTCACCCGTGGGTCAGGCATCCAGGCTCCTTCTCGTCGGGCAGCATGACTTTGGCTGCTCATGCCGTAGCCATCTTTGCCTGGGAGCTCAGGGGTGTAGCTGTGCTCCTGGGTCTGGCTCGGCATTCAGAGTTGTCATCTATATTAGACTCTGAGTTGCAGAGGTGCACTGGGCGTTTCAACTCTCCTGTCTGCAAACTCTATGGGATAACGCAGTCATGTTACCTTGAAAAGAGGGACAGTTTTTTTACTTTTGAAGTTTTTTTTGAGGTTGAATGTTTTACTTCTCTTACGCATATGTGTATGAAAGGGGTGTAAGTGGGGACTTGGTGAAAAGGCAAGTGGAGTTTTTTTAATAGGAACTGTGAAAAGATTGTGAGGGGAAAAAAGAATATTTGGAGACTTTAGTGCCTTTGGAGTAAATGTGGCAAATCTGGTATCTGAGTCATCCCAGAAGAACTGGAAGAATGGTAGGCTGCTGGCAGAAAGTTTGGCTTGGCCTGAGCTGTGCAGGTGTCACTGGAAGCTCCAAGTAGGCTGGGATGTATGCGTGCCCCAGGGCAGTCGGTGAGGGCTGATTTTGGAGCTCTAAGTAATGTGATCAGGATAAATTATTCCTTTTATTATTATAGTAAAGAGGGTGAGTCCCATAGTCAGCAATATGCTTATGCTGTGCACCAAGCACTTTGTAACGGGGTATGTTATTTAGGAAAGAATTCAAGAATTTTTGCCTGTGTTTTGAGGTCTAGAGTTAGTCTTAAATCCTTGGCGTGGAGCAGGAGGCCAGTGGCAGTCCCATAATGTGTGGTGACAAGAGAGTCTGGTTGCTGGCGGTCTCCAGCTTTCTACATCATCTGGCTCTGGGCAAACAGCTTTGGAAAGGAAAGGGCTTTGAAGTCATCTTCTACTGCTGGGACAAAACCCATTACAGGATGCTAAACTGAGGTGATGATATGATTATTTTAATCACTCTTAAGATGTTTAAATGCTAATTTCCATAAATCAAATCACAGCTTCAGAATAATTATGCTGTGTGTTTGGGTAGTTTTCGTTTGATCAGAGTCATTGCAATGTGTGGCTCAAGTTTTATGTGTCTCATTTGCGATTTAAATACCTATTGCCAGAATCTTCACGCGCTTGGTATGAAGAAGTGATTTAATTAAAATATTATCACTATAACCTTGTAATCATTTACACTGGGGTCCATCCAGTGTCCTTTTCTTAGTCTTTAGCATTAGGTGACATAAAAGTTTAAGGCTGGTGTTTGACAGATGTGGAAGGGGACGCAGCAGGGGCAGTGCAGAGGTGAGGGCTAGAAGGTACAGCATCCGAGAGATGGGGTCTATGCATTTTGAAGTGGAATTGAGATTCCTCGTCCTACATGTAGGCCAGGTACCGCTGCCATTGCCCCCCTCCCTCCGACGCTGTGCTGGCATGCTCCACTTCACATCTGGGAAAGGGCAGTACAGTGTGGAGCGTGACCCTGGATGGTGTTGTGGCCTTGCTTTCTGCAGAGCTCGCAGCCTGAGTCTGGGTGAGTTTGGGGAGGCAGTGGGACTAATCCTGCACCATCCCATGGGCTGTACAGAATGGGGCTGCTGTGCTTGGAGCTTTCCCGGGCTGGCAAACTGCATCCTCTTGTGCAAAACTGTTCTTTGTTACCGATTTCTGAGGTGCAAGTGTTCTTTCTGAGAGACTGTACAGGCATAGTCTTTTGAAAATGTGATAACCTCAAGGAAGGTAGAATCATTCAGGTTGGAATTCTGATCTCAGCTTTACTGGGAGTTCAAAAGTTTAAACTATCCATAGTCTTTTATTCTAACTTTCACTTCTCTCTTAGCAAGGGAGTAATTATGTTGGCAGGAAAAAAAAAATATATATATATACAGAATGTAGAAAATATGTATATAAAAAACCAGATTCTTCTTCCTTTCACTTGAAAATAAACTTTCTGTGAGAAGTCTGTCCTTGTAAGTTCTCTACCTACAATTATCAGCCCAGTTTTTAGAAATTATCTTGATCAGGGATATATTTTATAGGTCTGTAGAATATTATACTTAGTTCATTTAACAGGTTACCTTTGGAGTGCAAGTTTTCTATGCCCCAACTCATGAAATTGGCGTATCTGAAAGTTTGAGACTAGTAATTAGTTTCCAAATCTGAACTGAATGAGGGGTGTGGAAATTGGTGCCACTACCCCCTACAGCTGTGCCACTGATGCGCAAACTTCTGCAAGGAGACATAATATAACTTCGAGAAAGTGCTTGCCTTTTGTGAACAGATTACATTACTGTACATCTTAATTTACCCAGAAAGCTGCAGCTGTTTATGTGAACATACAGAAGCCCCTAAGGTATTCTGGCCCCCATTGCACAGCCCGATTGCTTTCACTTTCATCATGGTGAAATTGTTGGAGCGGTGGCAGTCGTGTCATTTGTCCGTCTGTTCTCAGAAGCCCAAGGGTGCTTATGATGAGTAGGTTGGACACCTTGTGTAACAGGTAGCATCGACTCACAATTAAAAGCTTTTAAGTTATTTTACATCATCGCTGAGAAATATTGAACTGGCTATTTAACTGAGGTTACTGAACGCTGCGGTGCTTTTGTATGTGGAAACGCTGGGGGGGCGTTGAGATGAAAGCTGGGTTTTTAATAGCACAGAGGTAGTTTCCCCACTTGAAAAATTACTGATAGTGGCCTGCTGCAGACCATCTCGGTCCTGCCCTGTGCAACCAGCAAAAACACCCGCTGCTGCTGTGGTCCTGGTTTGTGGAAGGGTGTGCATTGGTGGCAAGGCATGATCGCCTTGCTGTTAGCCATAAGAAACTAAATAGGAGATAACTCTAGGCTTGGTTGTTTGGAAAATACACTCGTGTTCTGATTTTTTTTAAGAAGAAGATAAGCTGCTGCAAAGCTTGGAAATGTGAATGCAGGATTCTCACTCGCTTTTTCTTTTTCTCTCCCTCTGTAGGTATGGCCTCACAAGTCTTGGTCTATCCACCATATGTTTATCAAACCCAGTCAAGTGCCTTTTGTAGTGTGAAGAAACTCAAACTAGAACCAAGCAGTTGCGTGTACCAGGAAAGAACCTACCCTCAAATCTATGTGAATGGTAAAAACTTTGGAATTTCTCCCCGCAGGGTTAGTACGTACTTTCAGACTAAAAACCCATTTGACAGACCTCGAGGACAGAACTTTTTGTTGCAGTCAAATGCTGTTGCTTTAAAAAATATTGCAGGTGCTACAAAAGTGTTAGCAGCGCAGGCGCAGCAAGCTCAGTTAGAGGCACCTGGGACTGGGACGCAAGGAAGCCGATCAGAAATCCAGGAAGGACCCCAGCGATGTGGATTGAAGCGTAAGAGTGAAGAGCTGGATAATCAAAACAGCACGATGCAGATTGTTGATGAACTGTCCATCCTGCCTGCAATGTTGCAAACCAACGTAGGAAACCCAGTGACGGTTGTGACAACGGCTGCAACGTCAAAACAGAGTGGTACAAGCGGTGATGGAGATTACCAGTTAGTACAGCATGAGGTATTGTGCTCTGTGAAAAACACTTATGAGGTTCTTGATTTCCTTGGGCGAGGGACCTTTGGACAAGTAGTGAAGTGCTGGAAAAGGGGGACAAATGAGATTGTGGCAATCAAAATATTGAAGAATCATCCTTCATATGCACGCCAAGGACAAATAGAAGTGAGCATATTAGCAAGACTAAGTACTGAAAATGCTGATGAATTTAACTTTGTGAGAGCCTATGAATGCTTTCAGCATCGTAACCATACTTGTCTGGTTTTTGAGATGTTGGAACAGAATTTATATGACTTCCTGAAACAAAACAAATTCAGCCCCCTGCAACTGAAAGTAATACGGCCTATTCTGCAACAGGTGGCCACTGCACTGAAAAAACTAAAAAGTCTGGGTTTAATCCATGCTGACCTCAAACCAGAGAACATTATGTTGGTGGATCCTGTTCGGCAGCCTTACCGAGTTAAAGTAATAGATTTTGGGTCTGCCAGCCATGTATCAAAGACTATTTGTTCAACCTATTTACAATCTCGGTATTACAGGTAGGTGTCTTTTACTTTGTTTTTAACTTTTAGTGGAACAAGGTTTTAGCATTTATTAATGTTGATGGCTTAAATAATTACTCATCTGGATAACTAATGAATAATTTGGAAAACATAAGGACCACCTAAGAATGAAGGCCATGCTAAGATTAAGTGATTGGTTACCATTTTAAAAGTGACTGTTTGCTTTGAATGTTTTTTCTAGTGCTGTTTTTTTTATGTTGCACTCTGAAGTAATCAGTTACTGTTATTTTGAGACCTCTCATGGGACTTTTAAAAAGGAAAATAGGAAAAAAAATTAGCTTTCACTTGTTTGCAAACATTAGGATGACTTCCTGCCTTCCTAACATGATGGTTTTTTTCTGTAAGCAGCTGGACAGTGTACTAGAAGTCCCATATTTTTATATCCTGTTGCCAAAGATTATGTAAATGCCTCTGTTTTTCTCCAGCACTTGTAAATATTTTGCCTAGTTCTTATAAACTCATTCTGATTGGGTGCCTTCAGCAGCTGTGGACTTCAGTGAACTTCTGGAGTGAGTGAGTGATAGGATACTTAAATGTTTAAGGTGATACCAGGCAGGCATTTAAAGTGATTTTGGTACATGGTTGCATTCTACATTGGCCTCAAGATGGAGGCTTATTTCTGATTTTGTTTTGAATCCTTTCTTCGTATAGTTATCCAGTCTGTATGACACGTAAAAGCTATTAGTATTTAGCACCTGAGGTGCTTTTGTTTTCTTTATAAGATGAACTTGTCTTGATTGAAAACCTTTTTTTTCAGTTCTGCTTTGTATCATTGGCAATAGCATGTCCTGGATACTGCCTGTCTCTGCATATTCAGTAAAAAGCTAATAAACTAGGACAATGAGTAATTTGAAGTAAATTAAAAATATTTTACAGCTATTCATCTTGGAAGTGAAAACTTATGGCTCATTAGACATAGCATTGTTCTGCTTATTCAGTTGCCTACATACAAATTCTAGCTGTAGCTTCATTTCACTTGGGTTGATGTTCATTTGCACCTTTGCCCTGTATAGAATTTTGACCTGCTTACTAGGTT